TGTGTTTGTTGAGTGTGTATGTTGAGTGTCCTTATTGAGTGTGTTTGTCAGTGTGTATGTTGAGTGTCCTTATTGAGTGTGTTTGTTGAGTGTGTTTGTTGAGTGTGTCCTTATTAGTGTGTTTTGTTAGTGTGTATGTTGAGTGTCCTTATTGAGTGTTTGTTGAGTATGTATGTTAGTGTCCTTATTAGTGTGTTTGTCAGTGTCCTTATTGAGTGTGTGTTTGTTGAGTGTGTATGTTGAATGTCCTTATTGAGTGTGTTTGTTGAGTGTGTATGTTGAGTGTCCTTATTGGGTATGTTTTGTTGAGTGTGTATGTTGGGTAATATATTAGTGTGTTTGTTGAGTGTGTATGTTAGAGTGTCCTTATTGAGTGTGTGTTTTGTTGAGTGTCCTTGTGAGTGTGTTTTGTTGAGTGTCCTTATTGAGTGTGTTTGTTGAGTGTATGTTGAATGTCCTTGTGAGTGTGTGTTAGTGTCCTTATTGAGTGTGTATGTTGAGTGTGTATATTTAGTGTCCTTAGTGAGTGTGTTTGTTGAGTGTGTATGTTGGAGTGTCCTTAGTAGTGTGTTTGTTGTTAGTGTGTATGTTGAGTGTCCTTATTGGTGTGTGTTTGTTCTATCGTAAAATCAGTGAATAATCATCATACATCATACAGTCCATCACACATATATACATACATGTAACTCTGTTGTGTTCCTTTTCATACTAAACACCTATGTAAATTAATGTTTGGAAATTCCCGAGTTCTCATTGGCTACGGCTGTTAAACGCTATTCTGGGATTTAAATGACCTCCATAACTCACCCAGTCAGATTAAAAGCATTTGTTTACTGTTTTTGTTGTTGTTGTTGTTGTTTTGTTGTTGTTGTTGTGTGTGTGTGTGTGTGTGTTTGTGTGTGTGTGTGTGTAAAAATGGTTATTGGTACATTTAAACGAGTTGTTGGTCGTTATCTAAGTGATTTGGCTACGAACTGGGGAAAAATTATCTCAGTTACTCAGTCAGTTAGTTATTCAGTCAGTCAGTCAGTTGGTCAGTCAGTCAGTCAGTCATTCAGGTAGGTGAGGCATTCATAGGGCTGACGACACAAGACCAAAATAGGATGATGAAGATTTAAGTGAGATAATTTAGTCACTGCTGGAGAAAGTCAAAGAAGGGAATTAACAAGAAAACAGGAAAAATAAACGAAAACAGGTAAAAGTGAAACAGAAAACAGGAAGAATAAACAGAAAACAGGACACTTAACAGGGAAGACAACTTAGTTTTTTATACCCTGTTTTAAGAGATTGGTATATTTATTACGAGCAAGTCATCTCATTGTCTGTCTGTCTGTCTGTCTGTCTTCTGTCTGTCTGTGTATGTCTGTCTGTCTGTTCTGTCTGTCTGTCTGTCTGTCTGTCTGTATGTCTGTCTGTATGTCTGTCTGTCTGTATGTCTGTCTGTCTGTCTGTCTGTCTGTCTGTCTGTCTGTTGTCTGTCTGTTTGTCTGTCTGTCTGTCTGTCTGTATGTCTGTCTGTCTGTCTGTCTGTCTGTCTGTCTGTCTGTATGCTGTCTGTCTGTATGTCTGTCTGTTGTATGTCTGTCTGTCTGTCTGTCTGTCTGGGTATTTTCAAAGTGTCTCTGTCTATTTGTCGGTGTTTAAATGTCTGTCGAAAAATGTGAAATTACTTCTTGGAAATAGTAATAATAATAATATAACAACAACAACAACAACAACAACAACAACACAACTACAACAACAGCACAACTAACAAAAACAACAACAACAACAACAACAACAACAACAACAACAACAACAATAATAATAATAATAATAAACAAACACTAATTAGCCATGTGGTCAGGATGCTGCGTTAACTACCTCGTTAGAACACGGGCCAACCATAACGAGGTTTGGAGACATAATTACCCGATTCTCTCTGTCAATACGTCCTAAACACGATCTTAACTCTCTCTTAATATGCTTTCAAGATTACCAAGGTCAGGAGGTTACGAGGTCAGGAGGTTACGAGGTCAGGAGGTTACGAGGTCAGGAGGTCAGGTCAGTAGGTCGGAATAGGGGGTCTGATCATGAGGTTAGGTCCAGGAGGTCAAGTTAGGAGGTCAGGAGATCAGGAGGTCAGGTCTGGAAATCATAAGGTCAGGTCAAGGCGGTCAGATTGAGAGGTCAGGAGGTCAGGTCAGGAGATCATAAGGTCAGGTCAAGGCGGTCAGATTAAGAGGTCAGGAGGTCTGGTCCAGGAGGTCAAGTTAGGAGGTCAGGAGGTCAGGTCAGGAAATCATAAGGTCAGGTCAGGCGGTCAGATTGAGGGTCAGAAATCAGTAGGTCAGGAGGTCAGGTCAGGAGATCAGTAGGTCACGAGGTCAGAAGGTCAGGAAATGTACAGTCTTAGAAGTTGTGCCATCTTGAAATATGTGTCTGTGTTGTAGTGACGATGATCAACGCTTGTAGTGGCGATAATCCAGGACCTAGAGACTAGAAAACCAACCTTATTGAACGCCAGGCGATGAGGAATGCCCGTATTGGCGAACACCAGACACACTCAACCAATCATCCTCAACCATCATGACAATAAGGTCGATATTTACTACAAATAGAACCAGAATTTCGACCTTAATGGAGACATAATTTGAATATGACAATAAGATCGATAATTAAGATATTTTAAAGGGAATTCCGACCTTAATGACAGTAGAATCATTAACCATAATTATGACAATCTAATAATAACAATGATTGGAGAATTTGAACACTGGGAGAGGGGTAGAAGATGATAAACTACAATAGAGGTGATAATTAGATACAAATAGTGCGGGATTTTCAACCATAAGTCGACAGGGAGAGAGAAGAGACAGAAGGAATTATAAAAATGTCAATAATGGTGAAATTAGTACAAAAAACAGGAGAATTTCGACCTTAAATGCATCCTGAACTTTCCTTATGTTAATAAAGCCGCAAAAAACGTCCAAAACCTTAGGAATTTCGACCCTAAACGCTGACTCAACATCCTGGAAGCTAATAAGGGCAGTTCTCAGGTACTACGGTGGGGAGGACGACCTTCTGGCTCTCTCTAGCTCACCTGGGGAGGGGGAGGGGGGGTGAGTGAGGAGGGAAGGAGGGAGGTAGGAGGGAGATGGGAGGGACGGTAGGAGGGAGGAGGAGAAGGAGGGAGTGGGAGGGAGGGGGTAGGAGGGAGGGAAGGAGGGGAAGGAGGAGGGAGGTGGGAGGGGAGGGGAAGGAGGAGGGAAGGAGGGAGGGAGAGGAGGGAGGGTAGGAGGGAGGGTGGGAGGGAGGGAGGAGGAGGGTAGGAGGGAGGGAAGGAGGAGGGAAGGAGGGAGGGGGAAGGAGGGAGGGGGAAGGAGGAGGGAAGGGGAGGGAGGGAAGGAGGAGGGTAGGAGGGGGAGGGTAGGAGGGAGTGGGAGGGAGGGAAGGGGAGGGAGGGAAGGGGAGAGGGAGGGTGGAGGGAGGATAGGAGGGAAGGAGGGAGGGTAGGAGGGAGGGTGGGGGGAGGGTAGTAGTATAGGGAGGGAGTGAGGGGGTGTGAACGTGACCTACTACTTCATGTGGGGATTAAGGTGCATTCCACGTGAGGTAACGCCCGTGGTCTCTCTCTCTCTCTCTTTCTCCTCTCTCTCTTTCCTTTCTCTGTGCTGATATTATTATTTAGGTATGTGTGTGTGTGTGTGTGTGTGTGTGTGTGTGTGTGTGTGTGTGTGTGCGTCACTACAGAATCGTGAAAAAACAGGGTGTCTATCGTGTACGTCTTTTAGGGAATACTATATTAATTTTACTCTGATGTAGCCGAGAGAGTTCACACAACACCACACACACACACACACACACACACACACACACACACACACACACACACACATGGTAATGGTACTCAAGGGAGGGACTCAACTATAATTAGTTTGTGGTTTTATGTCTCTGTGTCTTAGCTATCATGGGTGGTGGGCGGGTGGTGGTGGTGGGTGGTGTGGTGGGTGGTGTGGTGGGTGGTGGGTGGTAGGTTGGTGGGTTGTGGATGGCGTTTGGTGTGGTGGTGGGAGGTGGGTGGCTGGTGGGTGGTGTGGGTGGGTGGTGGGAGGTGGGTGGTGGGTGGTGGGCGGCGGGTGGGGTGTGCGGCTCGTGGGCGGTTTGGCGTGGTGCAGTAGGACACAAGACGGCGAGAGAGATCGACTTTATCGTCTGGAACTGTAAGATGCCTCCTGCTGTGCCTCCTGCTGTGCCTCCTGTGCCTCCTGCTGTAACTCTTGTTGTGTCTCCTGCTGTAACTCCTGCTGTGCCTCCTGCTGTGCTCTCCTGCTGTGCCTCCTGCTGTGCCTCCTGCTGTAACTCTTGTTGTGTCTCCTGCACTCTTGTTGTGTCTCCTGCTGGCCTCCTGCTGTGCCTCCTGCTGTGCCTCCTGCTGCTCCTGCTGCCTCCTGCTGTGCCTCCTGCTGTAACTCCTGCTGTGCCTCCTGCTGTGCCTCCTGCTGTGCCTCCTGCTGTAACTCCTGCTGTGCCTTCTGCTGCAACTCCTGCTGTGCCTCCTGCTGTTGCTCCTGCTTTGTCTCCTGCTGTAACTCTGCTGTGCCTCCTGCTGTAACTCCTGCTGTGCCTCCTGCTGTGCCTCCTGCTGTGCCTCCTGCTGTGCCTCCTGCTGTAACTCCTGCTTTCCTCTGCTAACTCTGCTGTGCCTCCTGCTGTCCCTCCTGCTGTGTCTCCTGCTGTAACTCCTGCCTCTGTGTCTCCTGCTCTGCTTTGCCTCCTGCTGTGCCTCCTGCTGTGCCTCCTGCTCCCTGCTGCCTCCTGCTACTCCTGCTTAACTCCTGCTTTGTCTCCTGCTGTAACTCCTGCTGTCTCCTGTAACTCCTGCTGTGCCTCCTGCTGTGCCTCCTGCTGTGCCTCCTGCTGTAACTCCTGCTTGTCTCTGCTGTAACTCCTGCTGTGCCTCCTGCTGTAACTCTTGTTGTGTCTTCTCCTGTAACTCCTCTGCTCTGCTGTGCCTCCTGTAACTCCCTGCTTTGTCTCCTGCTGTGTCTTGCTGCCTCCTGCTGTAACTCTTGTTGTGTCTTCTCTGCTGCTCCTGTGCCTCCTGCTGTGCCTCCTCCTGTAACTCTGTGTCTTCTCTGTAACTCCTGCTGTGCCTCCTGCTGTGCCTCCTGCTGTAATCTTGTGTCTCTCCTGTTTGTTTTGTTTTTTTCTCTGTTGCCTCCTGTGTGCTCCTGCTGTAACTCTTGTTGGCCTTCTCCTGTAACTCCTGCTGTAACTGGTGCTGTATATTGCTGTTATCTGAGTGGGTGAAGTACACTGATTCCAGCCAATTCCTTCCCTGTTATTCTCTGCTGTTGAGTTACTATAACATGACCCGGAAATTGCTTCGAGGCAGTAACGACCCGGAAGAAGAAGAAGAAGAAGAAGAAGAAGAAGAAGAAGAAGAAGAAAGAAGAAGAAGAAGAAGAAGAAAGAAGAAGAAGAAGAAGAAGAAGAAGAAGAAGAAGAAGAAGAAAGAAGAAAGAAGAAGAAGAAAGTTTGGTGTCATTTGGTTTCTAGAGCACCAAAAAATAGAGGGGTTTTTCTATTTTGTTCGGGATGGGGTTATAAAGATGGTTTCTACACTTTAATATGGAGAACTCTGGTTTCTTTATAGTAAAGATGGAGGAGTCTGTTTTCTATGGTTGACTGTAGTGATTGTCTGCTCTGGTTTCTAAGCTTAAAAGTGAAGATTTTTGGTTTCATAAGCTTTAAAGTGAAGATCTGTGGTTTCTAAAGCTTTAAAGTGAACATCTCTGGTTTCCGAAGTTTTAAAGTGAAAATCTTTGGTTTCTTAAGCTTTAAAGTGAAGCTCTATGGTTTGTAAAGCTTTAAAGTGAAGCTCTATGGTTTGTAAAACTTTAAAAGAATCTCTGGTCTCTAAAGCTTTAAAATGAATTCTGGTCTCTGCTTAAGTGAAGATATCTGTCTCGGTGAAGATCTCTGGTCTCTAAAGCCTTAAAGTGAAGATATCTGGTCTCTAAAGCTTTAAAATGAAGATCCATGGTCTCTAAACGTTTAAAAATGAAGATCTATAGTTTCTAAAGTTTTAAAAGTGAACATCTCTGGTTTCTAAAGCTCTTTCTGGTTTCTAATGGTACTGTTAACATCTCTGGTTTCTACAGCTGGTAATACACTCAAGGTTTCTGGTCTCTATGGCAGATGTACACAGGAAGAGACATACAGGTAGAGAACTTACAGGTATTAATTAAAACACACGTTACCTTAGAGAACACTTTATTCGTTCCTTACAGTTGGTTTCGAAACCTTAAGAAAACTATGGCAAGATTTTGACTTATTAAGCGTATACAAACGGTAGACAGAGAGAAAGACAGAGAGAGAGAGAGAGAGAGAGAGAGAGAGAGAGAAGAGAGAGAGAGAGAGAGAGAGAGAGAGAGAGGTAGAGAGAGAGAGAGAGAGAGAGGAGAGAGAGAGAGAGAGAGAGAGAGAGAGAGGAGGAGAGAGAGAGAGAGAGAGAGAGAGAGAGGTAGAGAGAAAGAGAGAGAGAGGGAGAGAGAGAGGTAGAGAGAGAGAGAGAGAGAGAGAGAGAGAGAGAGAGAGAGAGAGAGAGAGAGAGAGAGAGAGAGAGAGAGAGAGAGAGAGAGAGAGAGGGAGAGAGGTAGAGAGAGAGAGAGAGAGAGAGAGAGAGAGAGAGAGAGAGAGAGAGAGAGAGAGAGAGTAATGACAATGATAATAATGATAATGCCAATAAATAATGAGGAAAAATTATAATGATTTATTTAGTTAGGGCAAGACACTGTTGGCTGACACCTGCTGATGTATACTGACATTTGCTGACATTTGTTAACGTTGGTGGCTTCAGATAACACTTGCTGACGTTTGCTGACACCTGCTGATGTATACTGACATTTGCTGACATTTGTTAACGTTGGTGGCTTCAGATAACACTTGCTGACGTTTGCTGACACCTGCTCATGTATACTAACGTTAACTAACAAATGCTGACAACCTGTAACATCTCCTTACATTCCCTGATATCTCTTGACATCCCCTGACATCTGCTACCGTTTGCTGACATCTCCTGACATCCCCTACATATCTAACTTTCTGACATCTCTGACATCCCTGACATCTCCTGACATCTCCTGACATCCCCTGACATCTCCTGACATCCCCTGACATCCCCTGACATCTCCTGACATCCCCTGACATCTCCTGACATCTCCTGACATCCCTGACATCTCCTGACATCCCCTGGCATCTCCTGACATCTCCTGACATCCCCTGACATCTCCTGACATCCTGACATCCCTGACATGAATCTTGACATCTCCTGACATCTCCTGACATCTCCTGACATCTCTGACATCTCCTGACATCTCCTGATATCTCCTGACATCCCCTGACATCTTCTGACATCTTCACCACCGCTACAACACCTCACCGATTGTAGCCGCTATATGAGGTCCACCAACCCCGTGGCCGAAGGTATTACCGAAGATATAATCACTGTCGGTGTCGGCCTTCGGGAGATTATCATCACTCCGTCGGTTTGGGGATGAATTATCGGTCCGTCGGGGTTGATGAGGTTGTGGATAGTAGTGATAGAGAGGTACTGGATAGGAGTTACCTGTAGGTTTGTTGTTGTCTTGTGGGTGCGTCTGATACAGGTGAAGTTGATGGGAGATGTCTTGACGTCTTTTACCGTAGTCATCATAATAGTCACCATAGTCGCCACCATCACCACCATAGTCGCCACCATAGTCGCCACCATCACCACCACCATAGTCGCCACCATCACCACCACCATAGTCGCCACCATCACCACCACCATAGTCGCCACCATCACCACCACCATAGTCGCCACCATCACCACCACCATAGTCGCCACCATCATAGTCGTAGTCGCCACCATCATAGTCGTAGTCCCCTGCTATATCACCTTCGTATTCTGTATTCTTAGTCCTTCTTCGCCTTCTTCGTAGTCATCATCGTAGTCATCATCGTAGTCATCATCACTGTCTGGGATTATCACAGGTACAGGAGCAAAGATGTTTTCTATACCAGATTTGGGGAGATATGATGCCCTGTGGGAGAGTGAGGGAGAGTGAGGGGAGTGAATGGGGAGGGAGGGAGAGTGAGTGGGGGGGAGGGAGGGGAGAGGAGTGGGGAGGAGGGGGGAGGGAGGTGGGGGAGTGAGGGGGAGGAGGTGGGGGAGTGAGGGGGAGGAGGGGGGGGGAGGAGTGGAGAGGAGGGGAGGAGGGGAGAGGGAGGGGGGAGGAGGGGAGGAGGGGTAGGAGTGGGGGAGGAGTGGGGGAGTGAGTGGGGGCGTGAGTGAGGAAGTGAAAAAGAGAGAGAGAGATCATACAACTAAAAACACACACACAATAATTACGTAACTTAAAGACATATTATAACTATCCTAATTATACCAGACAGACAGACAGACAGACAGACAGACAGACAGACAGACAGACAGACAGACAGACAGACAGACAGACAGGAGGGACAGACAGAACAGACAGACAGACAGACAGACAGACAGACAGACAGATCACTACATGTCCTAGAAGAAAGGTGACTGACTAACATAATAAACTGGTTATTAAAATTAAACATCTGATGATTTATTGAACTGTGTGTGTGTGTGTGTGTGTGTGTGTGTGTGTGTGTGTGTGTGTGTGTGTGTGTGTGTGTGTGTGTGTGTGTGTGTGTGTGTGTGTGTGTGTGTGTGTGTGTGTGTGTGTGTGTACGAGGACCACTAGGGGGTTGTACAGTAGAATGATAAAGAAATAACTCAAAAACAACTAAAAAATATTAAAAATTAAATTATTTCACAGAAAATGGCGACGTAGAGCCATTTTATAAACGTGTTGACACCAATCGTGAAAGGGTCGTAAGGAGCCACTGTCAACACACCATCGGGTTTTGTCTTGACCTCCTCCTTCCTCCTTCCCTCCTTCCTCCTCTCCTTCGGCTGGCTCCTTCTCCGGTGGTTTGAGATGATCCACCTTCTCCAGCGGCACCTTCATGTACTTCTCATAGTCCTTCCTAACCCGATCCCACCAGTCCCAGATAGAAAAATTATCGGTGATTGTTTTCATGGCGGTGTTGAATAAGTTCCCCAGTGGATCAAAGACAACTTTATGAAGTGTAACTGAAGAATTTTTCCCCATCTGGTCGAGGTAATATATCTTATCTGTCCTTAACATAGACTCGACTATCGCATCACCGAACGAGACTCTTTGTTGTGACATTATATTTAACACAGAGGTGAAATATTTAACTAGTTGGACTAAATAGCTGTCTGTTTGACCCGCTGTTACCAGTGTGTTCTTGTTCCCGTCCTGTTGAACGATGTTGAATACCTTTCCCATCCCACTGAAGAAGCTCTGGAAGGGACCACTGAAAGGTAAGCTTGGTGTTACGTAGGCCTGGACCTGGGACACTTGTTTTGGTATCAGATCGACCTTCCACTTCTACGTTTCCTTCGTCAGGTAGGTTCTTCTCCTCTGTAACTGGTAGGGCTTCGATGATTGAGGCTTCCTGAGTGCTTCCATAGCTCAAGGTGTGGTGGACCTCGGCGCCGCCTGGCAGATGGTAAGGAGTGTGGAGGTGGCCAGCACCAGCTTGAAGCAGTAACACCACCTGGCGGCCATCATCACACCACCTGCCGACACACGTGAGATATTATTGGTTAGTGAAAACTCTGGGAGAACGAAAGAACAAGCAGAAGAACAAGACCAAAAAGAAGAACAAGAAGAAGAGGAACAAATGAGAGAGGAAGGAAGGGAGGAGAGAAGAGGAGGCGTAACATAATAATTAACATCACTCATTATTTCACAAATTAATTAAGAAATTATGCAGGTAAATTAATTAATCAACAAATAAATAAATAAATAAAAACAACAATAATAATGACAGTGGGTAAAGACAATAGACTGTGGGGAGGTGGGAAGTGGGGGGTGGGGGGGGGGTGAGGGGTGAGAAGGTCATGGTGGGAGGTTGGGGGAGGGGGGGAGGTCATGGTGGGAGGAGGGTGGGGGTGAGAAGGTCATGGTGGGAGGTTGGGGGAGGGGAGGCTGGAGGAGGGGGGGGAGAAGGTCATGGTGGGAGGTTGGGGAGGGTGAGGTCATGGTGGGAGGAGGGGTGGGGGGTGAGAAGGTCATGGTGGGAGGTTGGGGAGGGGGTGAGGTCATGGGAGGAGGGGTGGGGTGAGAAGGGTCATGGTGGAGGTTGGGGAGGGGGTGAGGTCATGGGGAGGAGGGGTGGGGGGTGAGAAGGTCATGGGGAGGTTGGGGAGGGGTGAGGTCATGGTGGGAGGGGTGGGAGGTGAGAAGGTCATGGTGGGAGGTGGGGGGTGGGGGTGAGAAGGTCTGGTGGGAGGTTGGGGAGGGTGAGGTCATGGTGGGAGGAGGGGGGAGAAGGTCATGGTGGGAGGTTGGGGAGGGTGAGGTCATGGTGGGAGGGGGGGTGGGAGGTGAGAAGGTCATGGAGGTTGGGGGTGGAAGGTCGGTGGGAGTTCGGGGGAGGGTGAGGTCATGGTGGGAGGAGGGGGTGGGGGTGAGAAGGTCATGGTGGGAGGTTGGGGGGGGGGTGAGGTCATGGGGAGGGGGGTGGGGGTGAGAAGGTCGTGGGAGGTTGGGGAGGTGAGGTCATGGGGAGGAGGGGTGGGAGGTGAGAGTCATGGTGGGAGGTTGGGGGGGGGGTGAAAGGTGGTGGGAGGTTGGGGGAGGGAGGGTCATGGTGGGAGGGGTGGGGGGTGAGAGGTCATGGTGGGAGGTTGGGGGAGGGGTGAGGTCATGGTGGGAGGAGGGGGGGGGGGTGAGAAGGTCATGGTGGAGGTTGGGGAGGGGTGAGGTCATGTGGGAGGAGGGGTGGGGGTGAGAAGGTCATGGTGGGAGGTGGGAGGGTGAGTCAGGGGGAGGGGGGGGGTGAGCAGGTCATGGTGGGAGGTTGGGGGGGGGTGAGTCATGGTGGGAGGAGGGGTGGGGGTGAAAGGTCATGGGGGAGGTTGGGGAGGTGAGGTCATGGGAGGAGGGGTGGAGGGGAAGGTCATGGTGGAGGTTGGAGGGGGTGAGAAGGTCATGGTGGGAGGTTGGGGGGAAATACCCAGGCAGGTGAAAGTTCAATGACCTCTATATGAGTGTGTGTGTGTGTGTGTGTGTGCGTGTGTGTGTGTGTGTGTGTGTGTGTGTGTGTGTTGGTGATGGGTAAATTAAGTTACATTATGTCTAGTCAGGTTAGTACCAGGTTGAGGAAGTAGGCCAGGTCAGGTCAGGTCACAGGTTCTAGGAAACAACACAATATGCAGCAGAGTCAGCAGAAGGAGTCAACCCACAAAACAACGGGGGACCAGTTGTTCGGGTTAAACCAACTTTTCCTGGGTCAGTCATCTCTCTACCACGATTATATCCACCACCATCTCTCTCTCCTTCTCACCACGATTATATCCACCACAATCATACCCACCATTACCACCATCAAGAGTATTATAGCTCCTACCACCATTCGTAACCACAACCACTATTATCAACACCACTTGTAGCCATTCCTATCACCACTACCTACCTCCCCGTGTTGTGATGGTACCCTGAGAGAGAGAGAGAGAGAGAGAGAGAGTAATTGCATGTACCTGTAGTAATAACACTATCATATACCTTTCAGACTCGGGATTCCCCTCTCTCCTTCTTCCCTCCTCTCCCCATCCCCCATCCCCATCTCCCTCCCCTACTCCCTTCCCCCATCCCCATCTCCTCCCCCCACCCCATCCCCCATCTCCTGAGTGACCCAGAACTGACCAGAGGGACAATTCCTCCACACCCCCCATGAACGAGGTCTCGACTACAACAAAAAATTGAGGTCAAGAGAAAGATGGGAGTAGCACCATTCATGGGTTTAGGGGCCCATGTGATTGAGAAATATAATGGGTCAGTTATAATGGGTGAAATGTATAATGGGTTTAATGGGTAACTGATAATGGGTGAGGTGATGTGTTTGAGTGAATTTTACCCATGAAGGAGGAAATGGGTACTAATAAAAGATGGTACGTAGTGTAGGTGTCCCATGAGGAGTAGGAAGGTGTAGTGAGCACCCATGAATGAGTAGGAAGGTGTAGTG